GTAATGAGCCTAGCCCTAAGAAAAAAAAAACCCTAGCCGTTATTCTTGTTCTCTGTTTGGATCACCATTGGAGGCTGGACAATTGGGCAGCTTGGATTGCAGATCGTGATCATTGGAGTTCGAGAATCAGCAAAGGAGTTTGCAGAATTTATCAAAGGTATCATTCTTATCATAGTTTCTATCTAAACACATTGCAGATCCTTGATGAATATTGAAAATTATTTTATTTTCGCTGTGTATGATTAAGTAAATTACCAACACTGATCACATAATGGTGATCCATGCTAACAATAAACGATTACATAATGGGGACAACTTCGTTTATATGTTTTAATTATATAATGGTGATCCATTATGTACATATAAATTTATGTAAACCATTAAGCTAACAATAATGAACTTTAAAATTAACGAAGTTGTCTAAAATTATTATTGAAATTACATAATGAGGTGGAGCACGACTGCGTGGATTATTAAAACAACTGTAAACACCTTCGACCTCTCTAGGTGCTTCACCTCACTTTGATTGAGCATTTAAATGATATTCGTCCTTCATTTTAAAGCGTGACAGCGAGTCATTTTTTTTTCTTTAAATCTCGAATATGGTCTTTCAGTCCCAAATAACCCTACAGGGAATATATTGTAGATCCATTTCAGAAACTCTTTCATGCTCATAGATCAAATGTATTTTCTTTTTTTAAAATCGAGTGATAAGCATATGCTCGTAGTAAATAGATGACAATTCAATTCTAAATAAAATTAATATACAATTTTATAAAACTAATAATAAATCAAATTGAAACACGGTGTTATGAAATAAAAGTAATAGAACAAGAAAATATAATAGTCAAAACCCAAGTGTATATTTTATGAGAATCAAGACTCGTATATATAGGGTTCAAAATGCAAATTAAAATTAGAATGTAATAAATTTTCTAAGTTAGATAAAACTAAACTATGCATAAAAATAAAGGGTGATACTATACATATATAATGGGGTGTCCACCCCTTCACATGGAGGGGGGATCCACTACGAATAAAATATAATATCTCTAAAGTGAATCCCCCTTTATGTGATGGGTGGACACCGTTGTGGAAACGACATTATGTACAAGTAGTATATTCCACAATGAAATTACATAATCATCAATGGGTATATGTACACCAAGGTGTAAATCTTGATGTACATGTAGAATAATTCATCATCAATAATTATCTTATAATTTTACAACACATAAAATTAACGTCAAATTACGAGTTGAGTAGATATCAAAACATTAGTTTATGTTATACCAATATAGCATTAAGTATAATTAAATAAAGAATAATGCTAAGTGTACA